CGTAGGAGTAACTGAAGGACCCTGGAAACAAAGAAACTACGCACATAAAACATCCTTTACAATTAGTAAATATGCGAACAGCACAATGCTCTCTAAACATATATGGGAGATTAAAAGCAAAAAACAAATCACACCAAAAATATCATCAAAAATAAGAAAAAGAACATCAGACTACAACAATCTGAGCAAAAGACACGTGTTTACCTGTTGAATGTTCAGGGGGAAAAGAAAACAGTTTGTCTTAGGCACCAGGAAGCCCCACTTTATTTGTGCATCCGCCATTTGTTCTTCCTGTCAGGGAGCATTTTGATAAATTCTTCTTTTTTTTATTTCTTTTATCGTATTTTGTGTGTTTTTTTATCAATTATACAATATCTACACAAGACCTCCATATTGAGCCTGAGGCCCTCACAAACAAACTCAGGAGTTCTTTTCTTATCAGAATGATCAGAGTTAGTTTTCTGAGCTGCTGTACATTCGTAATCACCATTAGACTTATCCAACTCTTTCCATATCCTCTGTACTGTCTCTGATTGACACCCAAACACTCTGAAATGTTCATATTGGAGCTTTTGGCATGAATGCCAAACAGTAGAGCATGCCATTTCCAAATTTTGGGCAAAGTGAATTGCCTCGTGGTGGGTTGTTTTTTTTTTTTCCTCCAGACAGTACCCAACTAATCCTACTATACGGTGCAGTCAACAAAATCAAAAACAAATATGGCGCATGCACAAAATTAAAAATGTAAAATGACAACAATCTACCCATAACACCCTGTACATATTATTGGAATTTAATTTGAGAACCGCGAATGCAATATTTTACAAGTTCACATTCTAGCCTATTTTTCCAATCTTCACTCCAACCTTTTTTTTACTTTCAAAACTGGGTCGCAAAGCCTTGATTCTTATCAGAGATAAGAATGTATTTTCTGACTAATGAGAGAGCTGGAAAATATAAAAAAGAATTCCACCACCATTATTCTTTCCATGGTGCCATAAAGTCTGGGGGAAACCTCACAGTTTCTTCACGCCAACCTTTTTCCTTACTGTTATGGGATCTTACCCATAATAGTAATAATGGACTATTCCATACTTAATAAATACTGCGCCTCAGGAGCAGGCAGGAAGTCAGTCGCTTGCTTTCTCAATTGACTGTTTGGTTGAACTCTCTGCCTTCGGGCGGGGAGGAACCCAAACGAGGTTACGCCGAAGGGCGGAGTTTCGTTCAGGGAGGTAAATCGTCCCTGAGCCCGTTTATACGGGTTTAATGGGTATATTTTGGGGCTGAGCCCACGGGCTTGGAGATCCCACATTAAATAACCGGCCTTGTGCCACATGCTGTCCCAGTGGGGGTGGGGGGTGACTGCATGAGGCAGTTACTAAATAGTGTCAGTCATTCAAGTCTTGACCGGCTGATTGGTTGAACTCTCTGCCTACTAAACCTGATTGTTCATACTAACACTTCTACTTCTCTGTATATATTCCTGTTTGTAGTATACCTGTGTTATTCCATACCTGTGTTCGAGTTCTTCTTTATTGGTTCTACCTTGGACTATCAGCGTGGTACAAGGAACCGGACCATAACACTTACTTTCAAAACTGGCTCACAAAGCCTTGATTCTTATCAGAGATAAGAATATATTTTCTGACCAATGAAGAGCCCAGGAAATTTGTATAACAATTTTGGAGAGAAAAGTCTCTGATTCTTCTGAGCCTCTCAAATCTCCAAAAATTTGGAGAATCTTCGCCTATTTGGTAGTGAGAATTCAACCACAGTCTGTGAGGTTGGTGATAGAGAACATCAATCAGCTTCAGAACCAATTTCAACAAAGAACTACCTACTAAAGGGCTGTCAAGAATGAACCTCAGCCCACTATTAAAGACCAGTTGAAAGTTGTCTCCTTTCACCTAGAAAACTTCTATCGTTGACCTACGAACTCACTCAACTGCAAAATTCCTATATCTACCAACATTTTCCTACTCTACAAGAACTGTGAAGAAAACTGTGAGTGTTTCTAACCCTTAACAACCTTCTACTCACTTAAATAACTATTAGGCACTCAGAGAAATATTTTAAGCAAGCCCTTTTTTACTTTTATGAAAATTTTCTCTTCCCTTTAATGTTAAAGGACTTTTTCTTCTCCCTTTCTTTCTCTCTTAATTGTGTTTATCCCTTTACCCTTTTTTTTTTGTGCATGTAAATAAACATTTTCTTCTTTTATTGTTGCACACTGAGCAGGAGTTTTGAGTCTTTCTTTATTCATCCGACTAAAAGAAAAAGTTTGTCTGCTCTAATCTTACTGTTTTTATTCAATTCTTGTTGCAATTTTTTAACCTCAACCCTTTAATGTGGAAAAGCTGGGACAAATTTCCCGCAATATATATGTGCATGTGTGTGCATTTTCTAAAGAATTAATGAATTTATTTGTGGTACTTTTATTATTTCAACGATTGTTATAGCGTATTTGAAAATTTTATTTTTATTTATATTATTTTTAAATAGAGTGTATTATGTCTATTAGAATGCACATTGAAGAAATCTAAATAAAGAAAAATGTGCTTTCTAACAACGATTGAGCCGAGTTGGTTTCTCCTACAAAGGTGAAATCAGGTTCGATCCCTGCCAGAGAGTACAGCCAAGTCAATATTTAAAAATAATATTAATAAAAATGTGGTGTCTATTTCAAATACAAGTATATGAATGTAGTGACAATTCGCTACATTTGTCAAGATTAGCATTGACAGGACCCAGCAACTCAACTTTGATTATTAATGCTTAGATCAGGGGATCAATCAACCAATAAAATCCTGCTTCATGGGTGGATAAGATAGCTATATTATTTCTCATTAGTGTCAAAGGTAAGTGTCTGAGTTCACGTAAAAACCAGGATTCCAAATTTTCAAGGCCAAACAACCACCTCGATTAAAGTCTTTGAAGTCCTGCATGCTGGCTGGAAGCTGATAATATAATTGGTAAATAATTTTTATACTGGCGAGTACTTCAATGCTTGTCACAAGGAACTGAAACAAAACCTTTTGCATGACTTCAGACACTCTTCTCAGATTAATTTAATTTGTCTCTTCATTTTATATAAAAAAAGAATGTCACGCAGACTTTCGGCCTAATTTCTGTGAAGGCAAGGGCTTTATTGGTCCACAAACAATTTCACATAGGGCCGCGAATTCCTTTCCCTCTTCTTACTCAGCTCACTTGAATTTGGAAGGCATGGGTGAAGGGAGTTATTATTATTTTGCACTCACTACACAAGTCATCCTTTTGATTGGTGAAAAGTTACAAAGAAAGGTGTATATCTTTTTTTTTAATTTGAACCGTCCACCTTATTTCAGCTGATCTTTTTGAGACATTGTACTTTTAAAAAATTTAATGAACAACTGTTTCATATCAAATTAGTTATTTTTTTATTGTCTGGCTTTCTTTTAATAATTGCTTAAAATACTTCTCTTAAAAGCAATTGTAAAAGACAAACCCAAACTATTATAATATTTATTTATTTTTATCTATACTTTTTTTTTTTTTTTTATTAATGATTTATATTTAATTTACATTTTTATATAAATTTTCTTCCCTCAAAGAAAGAAAGGGTAATAAACAAACTTAGTGTATCGTATTATTTATAATTATTTTATATTCACCTTTGTTGTAAATTTTTTTATAGTATTTGGAAGATTGGTACAACCTTTTTAATTCACTGTTTCCTCATTTTACTTTAGGCCTTACTAAGCCTGGTGAATATCATTATTATCCAAGCAACCAATCAATAAATAAATAACTTGATAATGTATTTTACGGTTATTTTGACCACCCGTAATTTCCACAACCGCCTTATGATATGTTTGTATTATAAAAATTGTGGAAAGGATCCCTGAAATATAATTACACTTAAACAAAGCCTAATCCTTTGTATAGCATTTTTTTTCAAAGGTCGAAATATTACCTCAATTTTTTTGTTTTTAAATTTCATATTTAAGAAAGGTTTTTAATAGCTGCATAATAAAATAATAATAATTATTATTTTTTATGGAACGAAATGTTCCTTCCGTGTCAGTTTTTTCATCTGACTTGTCAAATAACGTCAAATAGAATTTGTCTCGTTTTTTTTCCGGATTGTTTATTTATTCAAGTATCATTTGAGGTTACGTTTGTTTTAAGCTTTCTATATTAATGAAATTATAAAAACATTTTCTTTTTAATGTTTGTGTGTGTTTATGTTATTATTTCTTTATGTGATAAAATAGAAATAAAAAAAAAATCTGCATTGAAATCCTTAAAAAAATTCATCCAAACTAACAATAACATTTTTTAACTTTTAAAGTTAAACTGAGTTCCTGTTTATTTTTTTAATGCATTAAAGTTTTAAACAAATGAAACAGAATAATTTAAAATTAAATACACATGTCAAAAATTTGTTAAATTTATTTTTTCTAGTATATGTGTAACGCTTTTCTTTTTTAAACACTGTAGCAAACTCAAACAAAATGCCTTGTTGAAAATGAAAACTTTTGACAGCATTAACTTGGTCTTCTCGTGTCACGTTCCTTCATCTTTTTTTTTTTTGTATGGCTGGACAGAAGAGTTAAAGCAAAAATCGAAAAGATAGACTGAAGAAGCATTTGCCATTCTTTCTAAAACGTTAGTAACTTTCACATTAGTTGAATTAGGAGACGGAATTCGTTGATAGCAATTTGAATTAATTACACTACTGGTCAAAGAAAGAACTACCCAACCACCAAAATGTTCAATTTCCAAAAGAAATTAGTGAATAATGTTTATATAAAAAGCCGTTTTCAAACGTGGAAGATTTTTTTTATTTACTTTTGAAAATTTTTTTTTTTTTTTTTTTAGCTTAAAATTAAAAAGGTTTATTAATTTCACGTAAAAAAGTTGAGCCCAACAGTCAAATTTTGTAAATAGTGTTTGTTTTTTTTTTGCAATAATACATATTTCTTTAATTTAAATTTTCTTTTTGTGCATTTCAGTTGATAACATTGAAAAACTGAAAAACAGAAAAAAAGGTGAGCTTTTCTTGTTTTGAAAGACGCGAAATTGAATTCTGAAAAAAAAAATTATTTCATTTTTAACATGCAATAAGAATAGAGACGTGATTTTTCACGTCTCTATATATTTCTATCCCCTTCACACGCAAAAAAAAAAAAGAAAGAAAAAACCCTTAACATTGAACAAAAATTCACGGCCGGTGTTTTTTCATTATTATTATTAAAAAAAATGCCAAGTTTTTTTGTTTTTTTTTTGCAGTAAGGTTCACCCTGTACAACCCCCCGAGGGGGGGGGGGGTGATGATGAGAAGAAAACACGTGCGTTTAAATTTCCTGCTAGAAAAATTTCAAACTATAAGAAAATTGCGGACTTGAATTAAGTCCAACTGAAGATAAAGACGACAAACAAGACCGATATATATCTAAACAAATATATGTATTAACAACAAATTACAAAGCACATAAACAGTTAACATTTGTTTTTGTGTGTAAACATTTGTGTTTGTTCTTTGGTGAATGTTCGTACATATGCGTATGTTTGTAATGTTCATAGCGTCTTCCCAGAAATGGGAAACACTGTCCTTTGTGAGAGCTCACATAGTGTTCGCTGAAATGAAGAAAGAAGAGAGAGAATTACCTCGCCTCTACGTGAGGTGGGATGTGGCATGAGGTCTGAGGGAAAAAGAGAATAAGGCAAGAGGTCGCCCAGTATTTATAGTACAGGGGGAATGACCCCTAGTGACGATTTGGGAATTAAGGAGGAGGTAACTCCGACAAGGTAGAGGTTTACATTAAGGGGTAGTTTGTGGATAGGAGCGGAAGATAATGGTTAACTCTAAACTTGAACCGGTTAAGAAGATTGTAGTGATCGAGGAAACATCCCCTTAGAAGACTGTTCCACAGAACAGTGGTTCACGAGAAGAAGCTGTTTGAGTAGAACTTACTTCTCACTGATGGAATGTGGGTGGTTTGATACTATGTAAGTGGCATAGCAGGTCCTAGTCGTAAAAGTTAGGCCTGGCAGAACCATAGAATGTAGTTTGTCCGAGCACTTTCCCTGAAAGTAGTGATAGAGTAGTAAGAGGCTTGCCACATCCCACCTGAGAGGGGGGGGGGTTGGAGGGTGGAAAATAATTCTTCTCCAAGGACTCAAAGATGCCTTTGAACACTGTCAAGAATAGAAATTGAGGACTGGACAATTCCCATCCAAATCTAACAACAGTACTCCATTTTTGACCAGATTTGGCTCTTATAAAGGTAAAGGATAGCACGAGGAGTCAGGTACTTACTGGAGTGGTACATTTTACCTGCATCTTTAGTATTTGTACATAAGAGTTCCACTTGAGGTCAGGTGTGAGTTTGAGGCCCAATATTCTCTCAAGGTACAGTGCCTCCTCAAGGGAACATCCGTTCATCATTACTGGTGGTAGTTCAGGGTCTGATCAGCATTGATTGAGTGTAACAAGTTTGGTTTTCAAGGCATTGAATATAAATAGCCAGTTTTTCTCCCACTGGAAAGTTAGTGCTAGATCAGAAGAGAGATTAACTGCCAATCTCTGATCGTCAAGAGTTTTAGAGGTGCACCCATATATCGTCATATCATCGGCATAGATGTTTACAAATTACCTGAATATATTCTTAGAAAGATCATTTATGTAAATCAGAAAGATGGTTAGTCCGAGATATGATCCCTGGGAGACTCTTGCGTTGACTACCAGGGCCTCAAAAAACTGGCCATTAATAATTACCTTAAGGGATCTACCTGTTAGGAAGAATTTTATAATTGAGAAAACCCTTCCAGTGATTCCATAACTGGAGAGCTTGTGTAGCAAACATTTGTGCCATATACCTTGTTGAAGGCCTTCAAGATATCTAATGCTATGGTCCTTGAGGTGTATGTGTTGTCAAGAGCCTGACTAAATCTGTGTATAATGGTAGTTAGGACATCACGGGATTGGGCTGATCCAAACCTACACTGCTCTTCACACAGGAGGTTGTACCTATTTAGGTGCTCGATAACCATCTTGTTGATTAAAGCCTCAAATAGCTTACTGATGATACTGATGCATCTATCCTCATTGGGGGAGGATTGATTGCTTGCCCGCATTCTTGAAGACTGAGCATATGCTTGCTTCTTTCCACAGGCTTGAGAAGGATTTCTCCTTCAAGCAGCAGTTGAATAACTTCGCCAGGATTGGGGATAATTCTGGGTTGATATTCTTAAGGACAACCACTGGAATTTTGTCTGGGTTAATAGCTTTCTTCAGCTTTCTTGGTAAGTCTAGAGAGTTCTTGTGCTAAAATGAATATATTTCTGAGATGTGGGAAGTTGGGGAGAGGATGGCCTTTGTCATCTAATGTTGAGTTTGAGGCAAAGATTGAGACAAAGAGCTTTGCCTTGTCTTTCAAGATATGACACCAGAGCCATTTATAATAGTGGGCACAGCTGCTTTGCCTCTGTTCATAATTTGGTTGGTGATCTTCCAGAATTGATGAGATCCAATTTGTTTCTTTTCAACCATGACCTGGACAGCTTGCACATAGCTGTACTTTTGTGTTTTTCAGAACTATCTTATAGCATACTTTCAAAACGTAGCCTATTATAGCTCTCCACAGCTTTCCTTTAACATCTGTAAGCTAAAATGACTTTTTTGAGTAAAGTTAGTGCAGGTGCTTCCCAATCATTTCTCCATGATTTTTAATTTGGAGTTGCCTTTGTCCAAGACAAAGCCCAATCTACTTAACATTTTCCATTGCATTTTTTCTTTTCTCTCTCTCTCCCCCCTCTCTTTCTTTATATATATATATATATATATATATACTCCAGCACACATGCTGCACATATATGTAATTGTTAAATAGTGTATATGTATTAAAGTGTATGCTTACATCATGTTATCATTTATTTATTTTTATATATATATATATATATATATATATATATGTGTGTGTGTGTGTACCAAAAAAGCATACAAGCCCACTGCTCTCTCTCTCTCTCTATATATATATATATATATACATATACACATATATCTACGTTTGTATTGCAACATAACGTTTCATGATTTCCCAAGTTGTCAGGCACAAATGCCATATATGTCTGATGACTTGGGAAACCATGAAATATTAAGTTGCACTACAAACGTGGGTATATGTGTATTTATTAATATATACTTCATAGCTCTGTTTAACTACATTGTGCACTGTTTTCTTTGCACCATAAATTAAATTTATTTGTCTGTGTATGCATGCTATCGCACACATATACAGTTGCTAATCGTTATTTAATTTAGGTTATATTCACATAACTATCTATCTATATATGTTCCAAAAAAGCATACCCCCACCCCAATGTATTCCACATAGCAAAACTACTACTACGAAGTCAGAACACAGAAATTCACCATACAAAAGCAACATCCTTGATAATGGCTATAAAACTAACCAAAAGTGCTTGGAGTAATTATAACAATGGACAATTTCCATATTCTTTAACCCCTAGAAAACAAACAAATGTTAAAATGCTAGAAAAGCTCAATAAAAGTTTAATTAAATATTCCTTGTCAGCAGTTTTCAATGAAAGATGCTTGATAGAAAGGTTGCTGGACAAATATACATATATATATATATATATCACAAATAAGAGAAAGAACAGATGGATTAAGAATCCATAGTTCTTAGCATTTACTTTTAAAAACGTGCTCAATACAAAATAGAGCAAAATAATAGTATTATAGCACAAGGCAAATTGATGACTGAGTTTTTTTGAGCACTTCCTGCCACTAGCAAATTGGTATCATATAATGAAAAGACAACAACCCAATGAATGAGCAGATACAAATCAATGTGATAATTAGTGTGATTCCTTATTACCATTAATCACCAAACAAATCCAATCCTTGCAATCCTATCAATATGCAAAACAACTATTTAATAACGGCTTATAAAAGCTGAAAGTGCTCAGAATACATTCAACAACTTATGTTCAATTTCTCCCCAGAAATTAGAAAAATAGTTTGAACCATAATATAATTAAATAAAAAAAACAAAAAAACTTGTTTTCACCCAAACTTACATAAATGGAAAATTATGCCCCAAACCCAAATACACCCAATTTCTACAACTAATATATATATATATATATATATATATATATAGTCCAACTCCGGTCTGAAGAGTAGTCACATATCTATGTAACCACAAAACTCTGAAGTCAGCATGATGGAAATACTGCTCTGTTAAGTGAAAAAACTTTTTCATATTAATTTTATATATATATATATATATATATATATATTAGTAGAATCCACTTGCATTATATACCTATGGATTTGTTACCATAGGTATATAATGCAAGTGGATTCTAGTAATATAAAATATTAAAAGTGATCCACAAAAAGAGCTCAATGTATTTATTATTACACAGCAAATAATTAATAAACAATAAAACTCAAAAATTGCCTCATATGGGGAATAGCATATTTTGGCAGACAAAAATATAGGTTGTCTGTTTTATCAACCCCATTGGGGAGTGAGTTTGTGTCAGAAATAGAAATTCACTTATGAAAAAAAAAAACTATGGATTGAGGAAAACCAAGATTTGCTTGTACATATTCTACAGGCTGTTGGAGATGATTCAGGTATCAGCACATGTCAAGTGGCTCTAGCATGTCATACATCTCATAGTACCATATGGAGGACACTTCAAGAGCAGCTCTTTTATTCATATCATTTGTAATGTGTTCAGGATCTTTTTCCCTCTGATCAATCACCATGGGAGAATTTTTGCCAATGGTTTATTGCACAAACTGCTGATCCGTTGTTTGTTTCTTCAGTCTTGTTTATGGATGAGGCAACATTTGGAAGAGATGAAATAACAAATTTATACAACCAACATTTGTGGGCAGATTGGAATTCCCATGGTGCAATAGAGGCTAGACATCAGCATCAGTTTATGATTAATGTGTAGGCTGAAATTGTGGGTGACTGTCTGGTAGGTCCATAGATTCACCCAGCAT